ATAGCATTCGATATGCTGTAATGAAAAAGAAAACCAGGATTAAAAGAAAAGGAAATGTAATAAATAGAATGTTACTTTCTAGGAAAATTGTAAACTGCCCAGAGTCACTGATAGAGATGAGCAGCTATAGAAATGACTGACTGATCAAGCCAGTTGAGTACTAAAAAGATTTGGAAATGCTGACGTATTAATGATTACATTTATATTCCACCTCTCCTCTAAGGTGTTCATAGTTGGGTAAATGGACTCATTCCTCTTTCACCTTCATCATTTTTCAATCCTAAAAAAAACCACTGGCAAAACGGATGTTAACCATTAGACAGTGAAGTATGGTCCCAAACTAATGGGTTAAGAAGCCAATCTACTGTTAGCTATGGATATGGCATTTAAAATTTTTTTTTTTAAATATTCATTAAACTCATAACTTGCTGGGATGCAGATAATAGCATGCCAGTGATAATGGAAGATATCTTGCAGCAGGAATCATATAATTTTCCATGGCTCTTTTTAAATAGCTGTCCTTTAATTAAGGACAGCGATTTAAACAAGAAGAATACTTTAAACAAGAAGAATACTGTTTTCTGCCGAATGTTGATCTTTAATTTTTTTTGTATCATTATATGTATTTGAACCCTGAAATTATTGGCCTTTTTACAAGTCCATCAAGAAAACATCTCATCCCCAATCTCTGACCACTTTTACTCAAAAACAGTTCCTAATTTCAGAATTAAGTCTTTCACAAGTTTATTTGCACCAAGCTGAGGCTAATTCCGTTCTTGTTTTTTTTTTTTTTAAAGTAATTTCTCTAAAGCATGCTATGGTAACAGACTGTTGCTGATATTTCAACTAATACAAATTAGATAAGGCATATCTTAGGTATTTCTGCTGAAGTCTTCAGCAGAATTGGTTCGCCCAAAGCCCTGCCTGGGAACCAAACATCTCCTAAGCAGACGAAGGCTGAACCTTTTGAAAGCCACTTTCCAGGCAGAAGTTCAAATGCCTGAACTTCTTCAAAACCTCCCGAATTTCTGCGGGGAGCAGGGGAGGGGCAAGGCTGGAAGCCATCGCAGGGAAGAAAAAGCGCAGGCACTTTTGGGGCACCGCTTACCGGCTGGGCTTCTCCCTGGAAGCTCTTCCCGCTCAGCACCCATCCCAGCAGCACCCACGCCGCAGGCTTCATGCCGGCCCGGCTCTTCTAGGAGCTGCCTCCTAGTCTACCCGCTTCGCTCTTCTCGCTTCGCCTCTTGAGGAAGACGACTCAGCTAATCCTCTTGGCTTCCCTTCCCGCCGCATTTATATCTTTCCTCCGCCCCGCGCCACACCGCAACCTATAGCTCCGTCAGAGGGAGCCCTGCCAATTTGCTTTAGAAGAGAAAGAGATAAGAATCCGGTCGCACGCTGCCTTTCGCAACCGAGGAGCCTCCCTAGGCGATTCTCAGCCATGGCAGCTTGGAGGTGAGTGGATTTCAACTCCCAGAATGCTGTTTGGAGAATTCTAGGAACCGAAGTCCACATATTGTCAAGCTGGCAAGGTTGAGAAACGCTGTGCCAGAATTTACAGGCTTCCCAGGCTAAAGAACCAGTCGTGGACGCTGATAGAGCAGCACCTCTTTACTAATGTCTTCAACTTCGCCCTCTTAATTTTCAGAGGGTGTTAAGGGAGTCCTGGGGTGGGGAAACTTAAATAAAACAGTCAAAAGTATTAACATGCATTGATTGCATTATTTAGTCTCAGGCTGGAATGCAGAAATTTAGGGTGAGGGAGCAGGACTCAGAGGAAACAAGGTAGCTGCCAATGGTGCCTCCTGTATTTTCCCTTTATTATGGTATTATTATCATCAATATTTTTTTACAACATTCGTTCATAATTTTTAATTAGCTGTACCTTTTTTTAATGATATGGTATATTCAATATATACTACATTGTATCCTATATTCTTGAAATTGAGTTTTTACTATAGTATCCCTGGGGCACAGCCAATACACTAATATGTGCTTATATGCTTTGCTAGTGTTTTGACTGTAGACTACATGAAAGCTCAACTTCAAAACATTACTTGGCCACTTCCTTCTCCTCATCCTAACCTACTTTATCAGGTTGTAAAAAAATTCAAAATTGAAGTCACTTGTGCAACTTTTAGTGGAGAACTAAACTAATTCTGTAAAATTCTTAATATTACACAAAGACCACAATATTACCCTGAATTCCAAAAAGATGACAAAAAGATATATTTGCACCTGAGTCCACATAAGTACACCCAATCCCAAAGTTTATAATACAACAAATCTCTTCATCTTCACATTGTCACCAAATATATTTTTAAGGAATGTTTTATAAAATGATGTACCGCCTTGAATGTTGTAAAATGCAAATCAATTTTTTTTATCTCATTTATGAATGAATAACTTGTTATAAAACTCAAATGAGAACTACCTTTTAATTTTATGTTCCGATAAATTATCTGTTCCATCAGATATATTACTTGGCTACTGTTGAAAAAAATGCATAAAATATTATTGGGGCCTTAGATCCATACATTTAGAAAAATGTGACAATTGAATAAATAGAATCTTTGTAAAATATTGGTAGAGTATCTGTTTTGAACTTGTGTACCTATTTTAGTCAAATATGCAAGTCTATTTGTTCAGGTATCTAATAATCCAAGGTTCATTTTTGACCCTTACATTTTTAAATGCAATATATTATTGATCAAATATTGGCTTATTGGCCTATGCTATACGGATATTCTACTGTGATGGGGAATCTGACAGCATGCAAGTTTAATTAATAAATATTATTCAGTTATAATCTTCCTGATAAAGAAAGCTATATAACCTTTCAGATTTGCATACATGGAAACTTAGTTTTGAGGCTTCAGCAAAACTCAGTTAGGTAAAGTCCCTCTACCTTCGCATAAAAATAAGCCTTAATTGTACACATGTTGTGTATACATTGTACACATGTTGTACATTGACAATAAAGGTTTGATTTGATTTGAATATTTTAGCTCAGTGTTAAACAATCAAATATGGTCTATTTTTTCTGACTAAAGATTCAGATAATAAAAGTTAGGGTAAAGATCAGAATTAAATTAAGGATACTTTATAATTTCAGATATTTTTGATGTGTAGGAATGCATCCTTCAGATGAACATGGCCATTTTCATAATATGAAAATATCTGTAATAGTTCTCCAGAACAGAAGTCAATATTGTAAACCTGTTTTTGTCACACTTCAGGGTATGGTTTAGAGATTCAGAATTTACCTATCTGAATGTTCGCATAGGAAAATGAATTGTATTTGATTATGCAAATGAAAAGGACTGTAGTAACACAATTTCTCTAACATAATGGGTGTAGGGGATGTGAAAGGAAAGCATTTACTGTTAAAGAAGTGCCGTAAATTCCTATTCTTATCTCCTGTTTCTCTATAGCAGACAGAAACCCAATAGTAGTGGAAAATCTGACTTTCTGTGATTTACATAACTAACTTAAGTCAAGAATAAGAGAATATTTAACATCTGTCTGAATACAAAGATAAGCTACATTTCATTTCTCATTTTAGTTCTGCTAGCAACTGCAGTCTTTCTAGCTGGTAGAAGTAGCAGGGTATTTTAAAGTTGATGAATGCTGTACAGGTAATCCTAAACTAATGACTGTAATTGACCCTGGAATTACAGTCGTAAGTCATTGCACTCATTAGTTGAGGCATTACCTGATGAGAGACCATATTTTTGTGGCTGTTCTTAAGCAAATTGATTTTCCCTAATGCATGTTTCTACAAGAAACTGAAAGTAAATATTGGAAACTGGCAAAAAATATGTTGCAAATCATGGTCACATGACTGCAAGGTGCTACAAACAGCTGTAAAGGTGAGCCAGTTGCCTAGTGGCCAAAATGCAACATATAACCAGGGGGCAGCCATTGTAACTTTGACAAGATAAAGTAACAAGAAAAGGATTTTGACAAGCTAAAGCAGCATTTTCACTCTAGCTTTTATTATATTTCCAATTATCAGTTTTATACATGCACTAATGAACTAAGACTAAACTTTACCAGCTAAACATTACAAAAAAGTATCTTTTTGTGTAGTTAAATGGGGGAGGGGAACTTTGAAGTAGGGAAGGGGTCAATCCTTCCACACCACGATTGATAAATTAAAAGATATAAGTTGTCAAAAATAGTTTCAGAAGTTGTTTTTTTTAAAGTCAAGACCCAAAGAATCAAGTTGTCTGAAATTACTAAAATTAATTTATTTATTGAGCTTATTACTCTTGTAAGAGTATGGAGCACTGTAGCATGGAAAGGGGAAGTTGAAAAACTTGAAAGAAACTGGAAAATCTTTCATCTGGAAAATCTTTCATTTTGATGCAGGTGAGGAATGAGGTGGAGAAAAAAAGGCATTTATTCAAGCCGCTTCTCTGCAAGGGACCTGCTGTCAGACTTGGAGGCCATTTATTTATTTGTTTGTCTGTCAACAAGTACAAGGAAACAAGTAACAGTATAGACATAGACATGGACACATGAAAAAAATTGGCACAAATAAAAGAAAATACATAAGCAAAACATAGCCAAAAACGCATACAATGAGTACATATAAATGGGAACAGGAGGACAGGGATGGTAGGCACGCTGGTGCGCTTATGCACGCCCCTCTTAAGAAACATCAAAGGTCCACGGTAGACAGTTTACGGTAAAAGGTATTTAGAGAGACTAACAACAGGATCAGGTAAAAGTGTTCCAGACATTTACTACTCTATTGCAGAAGTCATATTTCCTACAATCAAGATTAGAGCGAATTACATTACTGTACAAAGAGGCGTTGCGAGCGATCCCTACACCTGGGAGGGCTGGCCCGCTTAGTAATGTCATCCCGCACCTTTCTCCGCGCACTCCTTCCAGAAACTAAAAGGGGGAGGAGAGGAACGGGACGCCTCTATCTCTCTAATTTGGAGGGTCCTGGGCTGGCAGTCCAACCCCCCCCGGCAGGAGCCCGCCTCCTTCTAGTGCCTGCCCGGTTGCTCTTTGGACTGGGCAGATGCCCGTCAGCAGAGCAGAAAGTCGACGCTCGAAAGTTTCCGCTCCTCCTCAGGGCCGCGCGAGGAGCCCCGGTCCGTGGGAGTTTTGCAAGGAATGAAGCGAAGTTCCAGGACCCCCGGGAGACTGAGCGGCGCGCGCCAAGCTTAGTCCGTGTGAGTGGATGAAGCAGCACGTGGCGGCGGGGCGGGGCTGCGTTGGCAGAGGACGTTGCTCGAAGAAGGCAGAGTTGGGGGGGGGGGAGGGGGAGAGGGAGAGAGAACGCTCGGCATGGCGGAGTGGGTTGGGTTGCCAGAGAAACGCGATCTCTGTTGTCCCCGCCCTCGCCCCGCCCCCCGTTTCAAAGCTCAAGGGCCAGCGAGCCGAGTTGGAGCTTTTTGCGGAATTCAGGCGGCCTTAAAAAGAAGCTGCTTTTCTCTTGTGCAACGGGTACAAATCCCTCCCTCCTTCCCTGATTGAGGGAAAGTTCTCAGGAAAAGGAAGGGCCGGCTTTCTTAGCCCGTGGGCGATGTGAACGAAGGGTTTGCCCTAGCAGGTATCATCATTTTGATTAATCAAAAGCTTTAACCGAACAAAGAATCCAAAGCACTTGTGTTAGAATTTTTGTCATTATTGGCGTCGCCCCTTCCCCTTCATTTGTGGAAAAATCAATTAAAATTAGAAGTATCGTTCTGAAATCTCCATTTCAGAGTTTGCCTGCTTTGGTTGTTTAAACCTCTTTAAATAGGACTTTAAGCAGGACTTTAAACATGCATCTTCAGTTATTAAAACTTGAGATTTAAAGGGGAGTGCAATCTCTACTGTGCTGGATGTTGGACAAGGACTGGTGAGAGACAGATTCAAATTCCCCCTTGATCAGGGGAATCATTCACACACTACTAACTAACCTCAGGGGTTGGCAAGAAGATAAAATGAGGGGATACACCATGTCTGCTGCTTTGCAACTCCAGAGCTCAATGCAGTAAATAAAAACAAACAGTAGCTCCTGGCTCAAGGAGGAAATTTACAAAAAACCCTATTGCTTTGCATAGCCTGAGGACTAGGACCATTGCATGGAGTGATCTTTCTCCACAGTCCTCATCTGGACATTTGAACCCATATTGGATTTAATTGGATTTAATGCATGCTTCTGAATACATATGGGGAGGATCAGTGTTCAAAAATGGGGGTAGGAGAAGAAAGTGGGATGGTTTGAAAGTGAATGGGGAAAAAAACCAAAATATATAAGTCAAACTTAGTTTTGTCTTTTTGAAAGAACTCATACCAACCTACTTCGGACATTTCCATTCCCCTGATACCCCACAGTTCTCCAGAAGGTCTATAAAAAAGAGAAATACAACTAGTGAATAAGAAGTAATGTTGAAAGTGGTCTGGCTTTTGAGAAATGCAAAGTAACAGATGAGTTTTGTCACAATTGGACGAAATGCGAGTGAGGAACTACAAAGTATTACGTTTAACAATCCATAAAGTGAAGATGTTTTTCAGTGGCAATAAAAGTTTCAAAGTAACATGTCACTAACTTAGCAATCATTAAAAGAAATTCAAATTTTATGTCTTTTATTCTGTCTCTCCCAATATTTCAATTTTTGTGCTTAAAATGTATGATTTAAGCCATTTTAAATGATACAGTGACTTAAATATAGTTTATATTGTACATTACTATATATTAATTCTTTTTGTGTTATATTTCACTTTATTAAGATCATTTTTTTTTCCTTTTTAGGTCAGAATATTTGGACCCAAATTGACTACATCTGAAATAACATAGGAAACAATGTCTTTCTTAATCAAAGGTGTTCAAAAGCATGGCTTTATCTGTCAAGCCCACAAAGAATTATTCAAAAGAAGTATATCAAAAGCTTTCAATGGACAAAGGATGAGATTTTCACAAGCATCCTCTCCAGTTAATTCTAAAAATATGGACTCTTTCAATTATATAATAGTCGGAGCTGGGTCTGCAGGATGTGTTTTAGCCAACCGATTGACTGAAGACCCTCACAACACTGTGAAGCTACTGGAAGCAGGTCCAAAAGATACTGTTTTAGGTAGCAAACAATTATTGTGGAAGATTCATATGCCTGCTGCTTTAACTTACAATCTCTGTGATGAGAAATATAATTGGTACTACCATACAACACCCCAAAAACACATGGATAATCGGATCCTGTACTGGCCCAGAGGACGAGTCTGGGGTGGTTCCTCATCCCTCAATGCCATGGTATACATTCGGGGCCATGCAGAAGATTATAACAGGTGGAGTAAAGAAGGGGCTGTTGGATGGGACTATGAATTCTGTTTGCCGTATTTTAAGAAAGCACAAACTCATGAGTTGGGGGCTGATCTTTATCGAGGAGGGGATGGCCCACTTCATGTGTCAAGGGGAAAAACAAAAAACCCTCTTCACTGCGCATTCCTGGATGCAGCTCAGCAAGCTGGGTACCCTTTTACAGACGATATGAATGGTTTTCAACAAGAAGGCTTTGGCTGGATGGATATGACAATATATAAAGGTTAGCTTTGACACATTCAGTTTGGAAGCCATGTTGTGTAGTAGCCATGAACACCAGTCTTTGTAAACTCTTAAAATGGTTTGGAAATTTTTTCATAATGAAAAAAGCCCATAATTGCTGGTGGTTTCTTTTAAGGGCCTAATAGCATGCATTGAGAAAGAGGTTGGACTAGACCAGAGGTATGAAACTTTGGGGGAGGGACAAGGGCTATTCCTGGTATTTAAGTGGAATATTGAGGGCTATATATATATATCAAACCTAAACTTCATTTAATTTTTAAATTTAAATTATATTAGGTAGTTAAACTAATACTCCTGGTATATTTAATAGTACAGGTAATCCTCGACTTACAATGACAGTTGGGACTAGAATTTCTATTGCTAAGCAAGGTGATTGTTAAATAAATTACAATCAGTTTCACAACCTTTTTTTTTTTTTTGCTATTGTTGTGAAATGAATCACTGCAGTTGCCTATTTATTTATTTATATATCATTTATAGAGACTGCCCATCTCCATCATAAAGCGACTCTAATTGAATGTATGGTCATTAAGCAAATTCAGCTCCCCCCATTGACTTTGCTTGTTGGAAGCCAGCAGGGAAGGTTGCAAAGTGTGATTACATGGTTCTGGGACACAGGAACCATTGTGTTAAATATATGCCATTTGCCAAGCACCCAATTTTGATCATGTAACTGAGGGGATGCTGAGACGGTTGTGTGAAGACCTGTTGCAAGTCAATTTTTTCAGTGCCATTGTAACTTTCAATGACCAATAAACAAGTATTGTGAATCGAGGACTACCAATATTAAGATTATTGTAAATAATTTTATTTAATCTTATTGTCATAAATTAGTGTAAACTGGAATATTCTTCAAAATTATATAAATAGAAAATTGAGAAACTTTATAAATGTAATTATTAGAGTGTGAACTTTTCAGCGTTAAACTTCCAACACAGTGACTGATATATTTATTCCTGGTCTGAGGGTTGATAGCATCAGCCACAGTTCTTCCTCAGCATAGATTCTTTTGAACTATTAAAGCAGCAGCTTCCAGAGGAATGTGTCAAAACAGGCAACATGACAGAGGTGATGTTGTGATGCAAGCCTGTCCCCTTGTAAATGCATATGTGACATTGACACGTGTACAAAAGGAGCACTGTTTGCAACCTAAAGCTGTTTCCTCAATTTTGCTTGCTTTGATACTTTCCGCAGAAGCTGCTGTATTCAAGTTAACTTCCTTTCAAAGTACAACTGTGAATAAAATAAATTGCAGCATAAACCTTATACCAGGTAACAATTGATTTTAAAAATTCATTATGGAAGAACTGACATTTTAGGATATATCATAAAATTAATGTTTCTGATAAGTATCTGTCTTGTAAAATGCTCTGGACAAAAATCAAAGTTGAAGTATTTCTCCTGCCAATATAGTGCCTATAAATAATACCTAACAAAGTTCCCACTAGGAAATGCTTAATCTTGATAAATCAATATGAAGGTGGGATTATACTAATTTATTTATGTTTTTCATTTATATAGTTTTTATTTTTTATTATTGTAAGCCGCCCAGAATTACCCTGAGGTAAGATGGGTAACCTATAAATTTTATAAATAAATAAATAAATTATAAACTCATAGCCAGTATTAACTTCAATCATTTGTTGGTTATAAATTTTATAAATAAATAAATAAATTATAAACTCATAGCCAGTATTAACTTCAATCATTTGTTGGAAATGTTTATTTTGGCTGACAGCTCAATTTCTTTCCACATTAAATACACAGTAGAGCAACAACTGAATGATCACACATTGACCATCTGGTTTTCGTTTAACCTGTTTCATTTTTAAAGGTTGTATGGATAGGTAGATACTTCTTTTACCAAGGCAAAAGATTTGGCATACAAATCCAGAATTGTAACTTAAAACTATTTCTGCTCGATCCTTAGATAATTGTAATTGTCCACAATGGCAGCTGTTAAAATTGAAAAAGGTGCCTGAATTAAACCCAGAATATAGCAACAATGTAGATTTAAGGCCAGTACTGTGTGCCAGACTTAAAGATTTTATAGGCATTTGTCACCCATTGTTTATGGGAAATGTTAAATAAAATCATAACAGTCTGTCATACCTGACACAAACTTAAGCCTCTAAACAGAAACAATCCTTGGCTCAGGGGTGAAATGCTCCCAGTTCGGGCTGGCTCGGGTGAGTAGGTAGCAATGGCGGCGGGCAGTTCGGAGAACCGGTAGCAATCCCTGCCCCCGCCCCCCATGCCCAGCTGAGCCGCGCGATCATCAGAGCCTTTTTTTTCTTTTAAATGGCTCTGACGATCCAAGCTCTGACGATCCCAGTTGAGTTGCCTGCTAATCAGGCAACTCATCTTGGATCGTCAGAGCCATTTAAAAGAAAAAAACTTTTCTTTTAAATGGCTCTGATGATCCAAGCTCTGACAATCCCAGCTGAGTTGCCTGCTGATCAGGCAACTCGGCTGGGATCGTCAGAGCCTTTTGAAAGCATTTTTTTACATGGTTTTACGTGTAAAAAATGGTTTTAAAGGTAAAAAAAAAAAATAGCCACGCCCATCCAGTCACATTAAACCCCCCCAAGCCACGCCCACAGAACCGGTAGTAACAAATTTTAGATTTCACCCCTGCCTTGGCTCCATTTGTTGAGACAGGTGTAGTTTTATTAGAAATCAAGTACAATGTAGTAGTTCATAGCCAGAATTGTGAGAATAGCACGCCAAAATCCCTAAATTCCACTTTTCCCTCCTTTTGCTGCATCCAGTCACTGTCCCCCCCCCCACATGACCAATCAGGTTCAAGCAAGATGTTTTCAGAATGGTCACTTCCAGGGTAGGTTGGTATGCAGCTGTGATTTTCCTCCCAGCCAGGTGACCCTGAAACACCATTCTGGGTAGATAAAGCAAGCAGAGTTTGGGGAGGGGGGGTGATGCAACAGTTACTCTCGCTTTCCCCAAGCAGCCTTTACTTTCACTTTACCCCAAGCATCCCCACTCCCATCCCCATAGTCTATGGCAGACTGTCAGCACATGGTATCGAAGCACAAGTGAGTATGAGGTGGCAGCTGACACAGCCCCTTATGCATTGGGATGCCTGTTGATTTAATACCATTCTAATCAGTTTGGTAGATTTTTTGCTAGAAGCTGAATGACCTGAGTGCCGCCCTACTCTCTTGAAACCTCTTGTTGGCCTTTAATCCCATGCTATCCTTATGGACTCTCCAATAGAGTTGAACTTTAGCAGCATTCTTCAACGTGATTCCAGACTTTCTCAGTGCAATATCCAAAGAGAGATTATTTGATACAAGCAATACAGTTTTCTACATGGCTCTGTCTTGGCCTTTTTCAGTTATTTAATATTCTGTATGGAATTGCTAGGAAGAATTCATCCAGAATTTTAGAAAGAGGCATCATCAGTATTACATCTGATACAATATTGTAATCTGAGTGCATGGAATGTCTCAATGTGCTCTAACATTATCTTCCTCAATATCAAGCTAGAGAAGTAAACAAACTAAATCAAGGCAATGTTAAATGTACAGTCAATCAACTGAAGAGGTAGACTGAGATTTGGGTTTTGAATTGGTTTCTACCCACACATATAGCAGCAGAAACATCAGGCTTGTAAATGGTGTATGGCAATGGCCCCCCAGCCTTTTAGACATCAAGGACCGGTTCCATGGAGAAAGGTTTTTCTGCGGACCAGAGAGGACATGGTTTTGCATGCTGCCTGCATCCCACGGATGGGGCTTCACTTGTTTGCACAGCCTGGTTGCTAGCATGCTGTGGACTGGTGGAGGTCCACGGATCGGGGGTTGGAGACCCCTGGTGTATGATATCACAATAAGATCCCTCACTGAAAAATCTGGTTGTCTTTTTTTGTGGACAGTTTAATATACAGTGATATCTTGGTACTTAACTGCTTTGAAACTCATCAAATTTGGTACTCAGTGCATTTTGTCCTGGTACTCATTGTTTGTTTGGTACTAAATGCACAAGCTACAACTTGTCTATGTCAGCTGATTCCTTATGGGAAAAATTTGTTTGGTACTCATCATTTTTGCTATTCATCGCACATCGTGGAACCCATTAACAGTGAATACCAAGGTACTACTATATTTCATTTGAGAAATTGTTAAGATTTAGGACTTGGTTATTTTACAGATTATCTGACTGTCTGGATCAGAAGTGGCCTTTTCTCCACTTTCAAAAACTTGCCTATCAGGCATGTAGTAAAATATTTTTCCCAAACTATGAAATGGACTCCATTTGCAGATGACTTGCAGTTAGTCTTCACTTTCTTTCTGTTTCTCAGAAAGGGATTCAGGATGTTGTTCTTAAATTTTTTAATATTGTTTTAGCATTTTTGTCTTTTTAAAAATTTGCATTATTGTTCTGGCTTGATGAATCTTGTGGACTACAGTAATAACTTTAAAGAATGTTAATATATAATCACAGTAGAACGGATAAAATTATTTTGGTATTTATTTTATTCATTAAAAATTTAAAACCAGATTTTCCCGGAGCAGTTTACCATACTGAGATAACATACATTATTATGGTTACTGTTACAATAAAAACATGTATTTTGTAGGTAAAAGGTGGAATACAGCTAGTGCGTATCTTCGTCCTGCTTTATCACGTCCAAACCTGTCTGCAGAAGTCAGCACACTTGTTACAAAAGTTTTATTTGAGGGGACCAAAGCAATTGGTATTGAGTATATTAAAAATGGAGAAAAGAAAAAGGTAAGAATGTACAGTATTCTTTCTTCAACTATGAAAAGAAAATCAACTAGCAATCAACTTGTACCAACTTTTCATTTCTGGCTCATTAGAGTTGTAGTAAAGGTTCTTTTATTTTTGAAATAAAAGCAAAATACAACTGAGACTTCAAGTCCATATCAAGAAAGCACTGCAGTAACCTGATCAAAATATATTGGGTACCACTCCATTCTGCAGATGGGGTTAATTTCAGTTTTCCATTTATTTTGAGTTAGCAGAGTCCCCCACCCCCCTCAGCTTCTAGAAATGAAATCCATACTGGTTTGAAAATAGGTATTTCTTTCATTGAGAGTCCTATCATTCTAATATTTTAAAAAGAGAGAAAGAAAGAACTCTGTATTTATTAAGTTCTAATACTTTCCTTCAAATCTCTGAGTAATTTTTTAATACTCGTTGTGACATGTGAACCAAACTAGAGCATATGAGAAGAAGGAGTCAGAACTGTATATATTGTAGCAAGGAAAAAATCAAGAATAGAAACAAAAACAATTAGCCATTGTTTTTGTAAAAATCAGATCAAAATTTACTCCTATTTAATGGACTCCAGTCAGATGATAAAGGACAAATACTGTGAAATTGTATGGTAATCAGCATAACAATAGCAATAGCACTTATATACTGCTTCACAGTGTTCTACAGCCCTCTCTAAGCAGTTTACAGAGTCAGCATATTAGCCCCAACAATCTGGGCCCTCATTTTACTGACATTGGAAGGATGGAAGGCTGAGTCAAGTTTGAGTCAGTTGGCATCAAACTCCAGACTGAGGACAGAGTTTGCCTATAGTACTGCATTCTAACCATTGTACCGCCAGGACTATAGCATAGTAAATGCGATTACATGATCAACAGATCTGATGATTTTATGAATCTTCAGGTTTTTTTTTCCTTTGATAATTGACTTTTTGGTATCTTGAAACTGCCCTGCTATTTTGAATGGCCCTTCACTATACTAAGTTGGAACTTTCACACATACTTTGTGTTTTGAGTTATTTTACTTAGTGATATCCACAACTCTGGATGCAATTCTTTCACCTCTGGATCCAGCTCATTTATTAAAAAGTTCAAATGCAATAGTTCCAGCCTTAAAATTAGGAAATCTTAATGATGACTTCTTGTCAATTGTGAAGTGACTGGTTTATTTCTACTCTTTCTTTAAATAAAAAATGTTGGCAGTTCATAAGACAAATTGTTTTCCTATGCTATAATTGCAGTACTATAAAAATGTAGTGTGGAAGTTCTTGAAGAATGCATTACATTGTTAAAATTGTACTATGTAATTAACTACACTATAAATGGATAAATCTAGCTAAATTTTTCAGTGCTGTATTGTTTTCAGTACCACTGTTTCTTGCAGACCACTATTATTCTTTCAGTGATTAGCTAGTACTGTAATAAAATACAGTAAAACTTAATTGTTATAAACTTTAAATTAGGAAGGATGATAACAGATGCCTGAAGGAAAAGAGATTATCATTCTGGGATAATTCTTTTTCAGAGAAATAAAGGATATCATTAGTCACTTGCAGATTTGTGCTGCCAGATGACTATTCAATAGAAGAATGTGAGAACCCAATTTTTTTTTTTGATCTTCAAAATGTGGATTCCTTTTCATTGATAAGTGATGAAATTATTGTTTTGGCTGATGATACAAAGCAAACGTTTTTTTTATGGGATTATTTGAGTAACGTGAGATACAGTTTAGGGGAAAAAGGCATTTGTAAGGAGAACAATACATTATTTGCACTAATAAAAACCTTCGATTCAAAGAATAATTTTATGTTAACAAAGAGAAAGTTTAGCAAATAAGTTTGGATGGACAGGAAATATTAGCATTGCTTAAGAGAAAAGTTTACTTAAAAATATATAATAGAGCATATTTTAATAAATTCAAATTGTCTAGATTACAAAATTTCTGGCTGTAACATGAGTATGAAAACTGAGGGATATAAATCAATAACATCATTTTGTATTGGCTTTGGTCTGTCAAAATTTAGTCTGATTACATTGCTATTATTTTATTTCAGGTTTTTGCTAGTAAGGAAGTTATTTTAAGTGGTGGCGCCATAAATTCTCCACAGTTACTTATGCTATCTGGGGTTGGAAATGCAGATGATCTAAAAAAATTAGGAATCCCTGTTGTCTGCCATCTTTCAGGTGTGTATGATAGATTCAGTATAACTCCGTGTAATGTTGTGTTGGATTTGAAAGTAAAAGGTGTTTGAGATGTTCACACAGCCTCTGCCAAGAACTCTTTAAATCAGTTGTGTCCTTTCCTAGGATGACATGAATCCCTTTCTTAGTAGTCACATAATCCCAGTAAAGATCAATATCATTTATAGAAGTGCAGACAAGTACTCTCACGGGCACTTGAAAGGACTTTCTGCTTTTGACGCCAAATTTTATCCCAATTCCATTGTTTGTAAATATAGTTGTAAATATTTGTAGTGTACATATATTGGACATTTCTTGTCATTTCTACTAGGGGTTGGCCAAAATCTCCAAGATCATTTGGAAGTGTACATACAGCAAAAGTGCACTCAACCTCTAACACTCTATAAATCACAAAAGCCTCTTCAGATGATCAAAATTGGGCTTGAATGGTTCTGGAAATCCACAGGTATGATTTAGAATTATATCTTGTTGCGTTCTCATTTTGCTAGAGATATAAAATCAGCTTTTAAAGTAAAGCTTTAATGAATGTGTCCATTCATAACAGATTTTTCTTGTAGATGATTCATTTGACACACTTTCATTCCAGATAAGGAAATCAAGGGTTTTTCAAAAGTTCAGGCTATATTTGCAAGTAGCTTTGCTTCACTGGGGTTTTTAAAAATGCATAGTTGTTAAATCACTTGTAACAAACAGGAAATTAATGTTTCTAGAAATTCTTGAGAATGCTAAGATTTGTTGCAGAAAGACAAAGAATGTTTAGAATAGAAGCACAAATGACTATTGTTACTGTTGTATAACAACACTGGTTTTCTTGTGTGCTGGTCAATAACTAATAAAGTACTAATGCTATTCCATGTTAATAACTTAACATTCTCAAGTGCAATAATTTTATGATAGCTATGGCAATTTAAAATATATATGAATATATTATATATATTTAAATATTTTTAAATTGTCAAATAATATATAAAAGCAATTATATCCAATTACAAATCCGATTTCATGTCAGACGTGCCTCCGTTCAAAACCCAAGAAAGAAAACCCCCCGACTCCATGTTTGTAGAGAAGAGGTACTTTTACTGAGTTTGAAATGATAGCAATGAAAGAAAAGCAAGATCTGAAGCAAAAGGCGCGAAAGTTACATATTGAAAGTATCCCCAAATCCCTTCCCCCAAGGACCCAGGCTGAATGTCCAATTCCCAACCCATATGGTGTCATGTGGGGTGCATCTTCAGGTGTTTTTGCCCATCTGGTATTCCAGGACGGTTGATCTTGACTGAGTATAAACAAGTCCATTCAGCTGCGCAGTAGAACATGAGAGCAATCCTCCCTTTTTGTTCACACACAGCATCTCTCTCCAGCTCACTTCCCTACCCAAATGCCAATCTTCCCCCCTCCATTACTATGGAAGCTGATAACAAGCAAGCATCATAGAGGCTGACATTTCATGTTATTAAAGAACTATATTTCTAAGGTGAAAAGAAAACCTATTTGAACTGTGAATGCTTTTACAACAAATGAGACATGCTCTTTATTTCATAAGCTATAATATGATTTGGGTTTGTTTTGAATTAACATATGTGACTCTAACACTCTTGCTTTGTAAAACATATTTTGTGTTAGTTATTTATTGTGTTATGTAATTATGCCCTGCGAGCCAAACTGCAACCAGAAAGGCAATGAGACTTAGACACAACTTTTACTGTGTGTGATGAATGTTTAAAGCAGAATGTAATATAAAATACAGGGAATGTATTTAAAATGTAAAATGATCTTTTGAAATCCTCATTCTTCCATTTTCATTATTTATGTATCTGGTGTTTGGTGTTCCACCTTTCAGGAGATGGAGCCACTGCCCATTTAGAAACTGGTGGATTTATAAGAAGTCGTCCAGGCATTTCTCACCCAGATATCCAGTTCCACTTCCTCCCTTCTCAGGTGATAGACCATGGGCGAGTTGCTTCACAGTTGGAAGCTTATCAGGTGAGTAGTAATACCAATTACTACATAAAATATCCACTGGACAGAAATATTTTCCTGGAATATATTTGTTCATTTGTTCATATAATTAAAGAAGCATATTGTACTTTTGGAAATAGTTCCCAATCCCTTTGTTGGTGGCCAGAAGGCTTAACCAGAGATGACATAGGTTCTCTTTCAATAAGTATAGACAAAGTAATTCATCCAGGGGTGAAATGCTCCCTTTTCGGACCGGTTCAACTGAACCGGTATTGATGGCAGGCAGTGGTTCAGAGAACTGGTAGCGATGGCGGCGCGAGGCTCTGCCCACACACCTGGTCATCGCTACTTCCTGGTTTTAACCAGGAAGTAAACTGTTTTTTACCCTCTGTGTATGCACAGAAGGTTTTGTGCATGCGCAGAGGGTCGCGCGCACGCAGCACATACACTTCCAAACCGATTAGGAAGGTAAGTAGATTTCACCCCTGAATTCATCCTATAACTCTAAGAAGGCATCTTCCTATTGTAAAGGGTTTTGTGAAACTCTTGTGTTTGTTAATCAATATTAAACAAACTACCCTCATTTGAATATAAGAGCTCCAAATTAATACAAGATATGATTTTCACTTCAAAGCCAATGAGTAACGAAAGAAGTAGAAACCAAGCATTGAAACCTGAAATAATTGTCTAAATCAACCATGCAGTGTCTAAATAACTCATGCAACCCCAAGTTTCTATGAATCCCATTAGTTATTTTATAATGAACCTCTAGAAGCCATATACCATGTATCTTTTTGGGATTGTTACAGGTCCATATTGGCCCTATGCGAAGTACCAGTGTAGGAAAGCTGAAGCTGAAGAGTTCAGACCCTACTGAGCATCCAATCCTTGAGCCTAATTATTTGTCAACAGGTAAATGAATAATTATATTCTATTCTTTAAACTTGCCTTCTATAGTTACACTCACAATATAGACAATTACACCTTCTATAGACCATGGCATACCATACTGGTAGTCTTATTTTGATGGCATTTCCCATTTCTTTGTATCTTTTCCTCTTCCATCAGTCTCGGACTTTGTCAAACATTGAATAGTGACTGCATTATCTAGTAAAGTTTATGCCACAAGTGTAAAATGAGTCCAAGTAACTGTTTCCCCATTATGCCTACATCTTCTATTCTCTAGAAGTTGTCAGGATTGTCAGACACAGTAATTCATCGAGTAGGACCCAGAAAGCGAGGCTTGTTTTTTGCTGCTCTTGCCCTGTGGCACATGGATAGTCTTTGTTCAGCAACTGTCTCGTTTAGTGACAGTTTGCAGTTACAGCAGTGATGAAAAAGTAACTTCACATCCAATCCTCACATTTACAAGGTTTATATGATTGTAAAGCAAAGGAAGCCTCAAATAAGATCATAAGCACAGTCACAGTTTGACTTAGCGGCCACTTCGCTTAATGACTACATAGTTGATCCCGATAAAGGACTTTCTCAAGGACTACCTGTAGCATCTCTCCAGATATTCATAAAGCCCTCAACCTCCCATTTTAAGTGCCTCACTCTTTCCGTATAAGTTGGGGAAGAGTGTCAGGAGCAACTGGCCAGAGTTTCTCCTCTTAACTAGCCAAAACCTGAAGCAAGTTTTTATTCTTGGATTCAGATTTTCATTTGTTCAGGGTTGAAAATGCCAGTTATTCCAGTTTGGAAAGAAATAAATCAAGGACAAGTATTCCCTGATTTTTAGCTCTGTTTTCATTAATGAAGAAATATGTTCTCTGTTTAGGTTATGATTAATCAGGATTGCTAAGGCAGTGTGCATTGATGTGTTTGTTCAATCTTACTGAGCAATTTGGAAAAATGCTGTCTTATTGTAATGTCCAAACAAGGTCAGAGACTTCATTATGCTGGAGTTTTCAGACAATCCAGTTTAACTGGATTTCCTTAGGCAAAAAGTTTCATACTTAAGGGCAGCATCTCCTTTTTGCATAAAGTCTAGTACACATGTGAGAAACTCCATTTTGTTTCTACGGGAGAAAAAAATGCACATCACAAGGCTGGATATCTTAAAGTGTTATGTCGAGCCATTATGACTTTAGGTCTTGCAGATTTTTAAAAAATAAACACTTTTATGGCACATAAAATTGTAATTCATGGATTGTAATTCATCAGATGCATAAAATAAACTGTTAAATTTTGAAGTATAACATGAATGAAATGCAGATGATGCAGACAGTGATAATTATTTCCTTAACAGGGAATATTTGCAAAGCATTTAATGCAGAAATCTTTGGATGGGTGAGCTAATGAACAAAGATGGGATGATTAAAAGCTGTTGTCTACTCAAGGAAATAGAACTAAACTTTGTACAGAACTTTTATTACAATAAATCTATCCTTATAGGCCTTTGTGTAGTTGTTGCCATGCTGAATTTCATTTCTTCTTATCTCATTGTTGATACTCCCAATTGTAGGGATGTGTGTGTGTGTGTGTGTGTGTGTGTGTGTGTGTAAGTTTACATCAGAATTATATATTATACATTTGAAATAATTTTGGTTATTTTTGCTACAACAAATCATTATGACTTCCTTTTGGGAATAAAGAACTATCTGGATGAAGGATTAAATATCCCAAAAGCTGTTTCAAAATTGCTATTCTACTAAATGGTATGTATAGGAAACCTATTCAATTTTCCTTATTTTATATTCAAATTTTACTCTTTCTTTTATGGTGAATAGATACTAAAATACAAAAGCAATATCCATCTTCCCTGCCTTTCCTGTATCTTAGGTTGTGTCACTTTATTCTGAATTTTTGTCTGAAAAGAAAAGAATGTTAGCATTAATATTCATATTGGTTGTGCACAGAATCATTGTGCCTTTGTTTTCTTTTCTTTTCTTTCAACAGAAATAGATGTCTGGGAGTTTCGCCAGTGTGTGAAATTAGCTAGGGAGATCTTTGCTCAAAAGGCATTTGAAGAATTCCGCGGACTTGAGATTCAACCGGGGGAACACATTCAGTCGGACAAAGAAATAGATGCTTTCATAAGACAAAAATCTGATAGTGCCTACCATCCTTCATGCACGTGCAAAATGGGACAGAATTCTGATCCTACTGCTGTGGTTGATCCCAAGACCAAAGTTATAGGCACAGAAAATTTAAGAGTAGTTGATGCCTCAATAATGCCCAGTATTGTTAGTGGGAATTTAAATGCCCCAACCATCATGATAGCAGAGAAGGCTGCTGATATTATTTTGGGATTACCACCGCTTCAAGAGAAAAATGTTCCGGTATATAAACCCAAAACTCTGGAAACACAGCGTTAACTTTTTGCTCTGCATTAGAAGTTTGCCTCCATAGGAGAATCTTGGCCTATTTTTTCTGTAGGAACATGTATAAGGAGTAGCATCACTTGATATGTTTTTCTATACCACTAAATCAAAAATCTATTTTCAATGTCAAGAAAAAGGATGTACAATAGAAATGATACTTTACGTCAGTTAATATTTGTTAATAATAGATTCCTGGAAGCATCTGACATTTGATGGTATGCGCAGTAAATTTTTACCACAGAACGGAAGTCAGATTCTGTACATTAATACAAAACTGTGGAAGGAAAAATAACAAAAATAGAATGTAGTTTGTATCTCTTGATTTGATGGGCTAGTACATTTCATATTTTGCCTATTTTCCACATCCAGTCTAAAGGTAAGAGAAAATAGCAATGTATTTTTTTCTAGTACACAAAGCAGTATTTAATCTCAGAATGAAATAGAATTCTCATTCTAAATAGTTGAGGCAGAATTATGTTCAAGTTAGACTTCTTTGGCCTATATTCTGTATCTTGTACATTTGGGTCACTTTTTTTTCAATTGTCACTAAAGAATTTTAAAAGAATGGAAGTCATGCTGAAGTGATGCAATGGTTTTAGTAGAAATAATCATGATTAAATTATGCTGCTTGTGCTTTGCAAAAATATTTTACTTCTGGAATAAACAAATTCTAATTAATATACTTATGTTTAGCCTCAGGTTTTTATATTTTGTTTTGCTGTCTTTTACTTTAGACACTACTATAATTTATTCTATTTTATTGTTTAGATACATTAGGAGAGTAATAAAAGCCTTGCATTAAATTGGTCTCATTAAGCAAGATTGTTTACATCCTTAATTGAAAACTAGGAGTTGACTTTAATCAACAGAACAACTGGGAAGTGTTCTGTTAAAAATGGCTAATCAGCTAACCCATAGAAGGATGGATTTAGTAGTGAACTAACTCAGTCACACAGAAGGTTAAATTAATCAATGAGCTGTATTTACAGGAACTTCTAAACTACATTTTTGTATACCTAGGCCTCCAGAAAAGAAAGCGCGATAAGATGGAATGATAAGATGGGATAGGTGGACTGAGACTGAAGAATTCTAACATGCAACCACAACATGCATCAGGGCAAGTATTATTTAAGAAAAGCTCATGGTTGTCCTGAACCAATGGAGCATGAAGATTGAAATACCCCAGCATAAACAGCTGAGAGGGTTCAAAATCCAACTCTGCAATTTCAGGAAGAGATTAGCCATGCAGCCTGGCAAGTGATAGACAAGCATTATTCCCTACTTGTTCTTACAGCCTGAACTCCACACAGATATAGTACCTGGACCATATCACCTTAGATAGAGTGCCTTTGCTGACCATCTAGATTTTCATGAGTATCACAGCCATCCTCCTTCCCTTTCCTTAGAATCATGAATAGTGAAGAACTCAGAATCTTGGACAGCCTATTTCTAAAAGGGTAATATCTGTGCCTTCACAGATTTCAGGTTTCAGCAATGTGCACCACCTTGTTTGTTCATCAACCATCAGAATTTGAATGGCAAGATCCAAGGACCAAAACGCCTCTCTCCCTTTTCCATAATGGTTTGCCCAGCACCACTATCATAACAGCTTCCTTGACTTGACCTGAAACTACTGCACCTTTTTTCCTTTCCCCTCAAGTTGCCTACATGCCATCCTTACTGCCTTTCAGCCAACTAGACATTGTCTTAGAGCTTATCTCTGCCACATTCAATTGGCAGTAATCTGCCTAACTTTGATCTCAGTCAAATACCCATTCTCCCTTCTCCATTCCTTCTAATTTTACCTGATCCAGTTTTTACCCCGCTCTGACAGGATCAATCCCAATTTCAGTTTGGGGAAGAAGGATATTGTCAGTCATTCCCCACTTCTCATCCAGGGTAACTCTTGTTACATAGTCCCCAAGGGCTTCAACAGCTTTGACAGGGCAAAACCTCTCACTGTTTTCTGGTCCTTCTATGGCTTGCTAAGACCCTGTACATTCCATCAACAGACATGTCGATCTACATCTAGCTTACAAACCCCTCAAAATTCAAATCAACCACACAGCCAACCAGAAACAGTACCGAACCTCAACCAACCCATGCAAGCCCACCCCCAACCAGCACTTTACCTCTTAATGACCCTCATCTGATGTAACTTCCCTATCACAAGACTCTCACTGGTGACCCACATTTGACCATCACAAAACCCACCACAAGGCCCTCACTTAACACACCCACTCCTGACCCATCACAAGACCTTGGTCTGATGACTTACCTGACTTGACCTCACCATCACAGGACCTACTGACTATATAAAGCCCTTATAAACGGAACACTGATATTGACCTCCCCTAAACTCTGCTGAAGATGTTACCTAGCCTGGTAATTAAAAGTTCAGAAACCAATCCACAAGCTCAGAGAAGGAACCTCTACCCTCACCCTATACATTGCCCAGATTCACTAGTGAGATTTTCAGACCAGCTTTCATTGAGGCATCAGCACTTTTTGCCTGTCAATTCTGGCAGCCCCGGTCCACAAGCTAAGCTCTGACCCCAGCTCCTTTTGTTACCTTGCCATGACAGCCATTGCAACCAGCCCCCAGCTGAATTCTCTTGCATCTTGTCTCCCATCTGATGTGCAGTTTCATAGTTCTAATCTTCCATCAACCCATCCAACACCGCCAACAATAGTTCCAAAGCAGCAGCACCCATTTCATTGTACATTATTCTGAAAACCTCAGTTGGATTAGAGACATGATGTTGCCATGATGTCACTTGCAAATTCAGGTTGTGAACATAGGAGTGACAACTGATTCCTACTTCCTTAGAAAATTGCTCCCTGTGGTTTTATGGAGGTCAGTGACCTGTAAAACCCCATAGTTCAGACACAGAACTATGGGGCCAAAAGAAATCACCAATCTTTAGAATTGCATATGTTGGTAAAAAGAGACAAAGTATAATAACTTTATTACACAATTTTATTCTCAGTAACATTTTGCATTTATTTTCATACAAAATGATGTAGGTCAAGAAATAATGTACAAACCTTTAAATTCTCTCCTGACATTTGAAAGAAGAGGTTTGTAAGGTATTCATAGCAAATTGCCACTGTGTACAAAAATGTTTATATTAATCTTAGCTGTGTATGTCACACTTTTGAAACGTGACAATTGCTACTTATTTTGTTAATACAGATAACCCTGATAAAGTTGCTTGGCAGAACAAGTCCATTTATCCAATGTTAATAAAATAAACCTTTGATATTTATTGATCTCCAAAATCATATTATCTTCAGTATCGGGATTTTACTGCATCACAAACAACATTGAAGCCCTCCTTTGATTGCATAAAAACAAATCCTGAAACATTACATGTAGAACATCAAAAAGTTTGTCAACCATGCCATATTCTCACCAGTTTAGGAATGTTTTGGTTATGTAAATCATCATCATCATCATACATTCCACTTCAAGCTGTGTAACTTGTTAACTATCCATCTTGTAAATTATATCTATGTAGGAAATCTCTACCAAGAAGAATGCTCATGGTGGTTCGATCCTATGCATCTTCATTAAGAAATCCCATTTTCTACAATAGGACTTTGTATCAGGAAAATGATGTAGGATTGAAACATCAATCTATGTTTATTTCAAAGTAAAAGTAAAACCTTGCCAAACGGATAGCTTTTTTGATTATTCTTGTTTCTAGCTGTTATTGCAAGAGTTGTCGTAGAGATAAATAAATCCACAGTTTGTTTTCTGTCAAAAAGACAGCAGATTCCAAATAATAGCTTTCCAAATACAAGATTGTAATTACTCATTTTCTATATCTTAACATTGTAAAGTGAGAATCCAATTGACTGAAAATATTTTATAAAATCTCTGTTGCATCAAGTTTTTTTTTAAATCTTTACTTCAAAAACATTTTATAATGAAGGTGGCTCTATTTAAATATTTAACTCTATAGTGCTATACAGTCCAAGTAAAAATACTTCTATTTAGAATTCAGTGAAGAATTACAATAATGAGGCTCCATAAATATTGCTGCGGTTCAATTACGGTACAATAATTACAAAATATAGAACATCTCTTTACAAATACAAATTATGGTAGATTAGAATTTATTTACAATAATCTCTGCTATATAGTTTTTAACAAACTGTCCTATCTAACTCTACGTTAACCTGGTTGCAAGTGCATTAGTAAAAATGCAAATATTCCAGTGTATTTTGCCCTTGATATGATAGTCATAAAACAGACTATTTTTAATGATATTTTACTATGTAAACTGCTGTTACATATGAGAAAAACGCTTTCAGCAGCGGATGAAACAATCTCTTGGAAAAAAGAGTTTGATAAAATGTATTAAGGAACTTTTTCAAAAAAAAATAATAAGCAAATTTTAAAATAATATATCTGAGTGGATATGCTGAATGCAGTGGATTTCTGATATGCTTTGTGATCAGAGGTAATGACATCTTTGATTGTCATCACCACAGTCTTCTGAAGACCTTGTTAAAAGTGCCAATCTTTTTTCCACTGAGCATTGTGAACACCCTGGAAGGCAGCAGAACACAATTGGAAGACAGCAATCTTTCCACTTTCTCTGTTTTTGTTTTAACACAAACGGGTTAGAATCTTCTTGGTTCTAAAGATCCGCCTTCATTCCCTGATGAGCTCGCGACTCTGTAGCAAAGGCCTTGAAGAAATCATTCAAATCCTGATTCATCATACTGGAAACACGTACTAATAAATAAAAGTATGGCTTCCTCACAACATGACAATATCATCACTCATGCAAAGCTTGATTCCTTATTGATTCCAACTAGTGCCTAGCATCATAGAACTAGGAGGCACTTCTGTTTGTTTAAAATCAAACATTTTTTCCCCTCACTAAATACTATAAGGTTGTAATGCATATCATTTCATCAGATAAGTCTTCTTCATATTTTCCAGTATCCGGCTCTTCATCACTAAAGCCAGGACCAAATTCTTGAAGTTCGTAATCTTGTCTATTTAAAATAGGGAACATGTCACCGTTAGTTCCATTGCTAATGTCTCCATTGAGAAGGTGGCTTGCAGCACTTTCCATCTCATCAATAGTCATGTCACAAGCATCTGCAATCTCATGTTTTGTTGCAGAAACAAACTTTGGGTCCCTTGCATAGTGTCCTAATCCTTCAGATATAAGCACCTGAAAAGGTAACAGCATAAACATTATGTTAGCATTATGTTATCAAAAGCAACAGTGCAGAACAGCAGAAGCTTATATGGCAAGCCTGGGTCTATTGCTATTGATTCTCAAAAGAAGGCAACTAAAGTGGTTATTAGATTAAAGCAGGGGTGTCAAACTCAATTTCACTGAGGGCCATATCGGGGTTGCATTTGACCTCGAGGGGGTGGGCATGGCCAGCTCGACGTCACTCATGTCGTGGGCGCCTGTGGTGGCCTGGGCACTTTGACAGTAAAAACAGGCTCCCGAGGTCCATTCTTGGCTGTGACGGCCTCCTGCAACCCTCTGCAAGTGAAAACAGAGCTCGCGAGGGCCACATGCGGCTCTCCCGAGCTCCATTTTCACTGGCAGAGGCACTGTGGGCCAGTCCTTCACTGTTTCCAGGGTGGCCCTATGGGCCAGATCTAAGCACCCTGTGGGCCGTATTCAGCCCACGGGCCTTGTGTTTGACACCCCTGGATTAAAGCTTCTCAGAAACCTACAATATTTTCCAACTCCCTGTTTTGCTTTTTTATAATCTAGCAAGGAATTAGATACTATTGACATGTATTTGCTAAGCAATCTACTATTTGACATAGACCCAAAGGTTATTGATACATGGGAGTAGGTGTTCATGCATGTATAGAATGTATCAAAGCTTGCTTTGCATCTCCCACATCCAGTTTCTTGGCTACACATTTAGAACACAATGTTAAGAAAGTATATCTGCTATTTTCACAGATAAATTGCCAGAATGCTCCTTTCATTCAAATGACTGCTGTCAACTAGGGCATGCAGAATTGCCAATAGCAGCCATTTGCTTACTAGACAGATTATGTCTTTATATTTTGAAACTTGAGGACTGGAAAAACCATTATCAAAATACAAAAATGTCATGGAATCATTATTTAATGCTTATATATATATATATTGTATAGTATACAAGCATTTTATGTTCAGTGGAATATTAAAGCATTCTCTTTGTGTCAATTTAAAAAAAACATAAATTCAGATCTAAGGTAATGGTAAATGACACTATCTTAACCTCTATACTTCTGGATAAAAATGAAATAGAAGAATAAATCTTCTTTACAGTGTTTTGAAAAGAATGTAATTTGAGCCATGGTGATACAGTAATTAGAATGCAGTGTTGCAGGCTAATTTTAATTGACTGCCAACTGCTAACAGTTTAGTAGTTCGATCCTGACTGGTTCAAGGTTGGCTTCCATCCTTCTGAGGTCAGTAAAATGAGGACCCAGATTGTTGGGGGCAATATGCTGACTCTGTAAACTCTTTAAAGCCCTTAGAGAGGGCTGTAAAGCACCGTGAAGCAGTATATAAGTGCTATTGCTATTGTTATAATTTTATCATGTAAAGCACGGGTGTCAAATGTGAGTTTGACACCCGTGCTTTACATGATGACTTTGCTGTCACATGATGTTTCACAATGTTTTTCCCATTTGCAGAGCTGGATGGATGTGGCCTGCACGTGATGCGTCCAGCCCATGGGCCACCAGTTTGACACCCATGATATAAAGTATATTTTATTCTGAATATACCATTTCTCATAACATAATACGATAAAACAAAGTATTTTTGGGTCAGATAACGCTCCATTTTCAGAGGTTATTTCATGACCAGCTCAGAACAAAGGTCTGAAACACTTACCGCTTCTACCAAACTGTCGGCGCTTCTCTGCTTGTCACTATACTTATGCCTAAAGTCACTTGGTACAGTCAAATTAGCTGGTGTAAATGTCCGATATGCAATATCAGGGTCATCGGTATACCAGGAGCTCCTATGCAAAGACGGCAGACTACCATTCATATATTCTGTAGAATCTGGTTGATCAACTTGTATAAGAGGTGTATAATAAAGAGTGCGGTCCCGGTTGGGTGGTGTAGCCCAGGAACGTGTTGAGCGACTTGGAGAATGCCTATGCACTTTAGTGGCATCCAGACCTGCAACTGCCATGACCTGAGGAAGAGATGAAACGTTCATACCATTCCAAGCTTATAGAGACAATGTTTTAAAGGCTAAGGTTTTATAGAGGCTAGGGTTTTAAAGACTCAGGAATAATGAAAGGAGTGCAACGAATAAAGGGACAATGAAACATCTCCCCTACTTAATGTATTCATACAGGAAACTTTCATTTATTTCTCTTTTCTAGTTCATATACCATGTTTTCCCGAAAATAAGCCCTCCCCCAAAATATGTCCTCCCCTGAAAATAAGTCCTCCCCCGAAAATAAGCTCCCCCTGGAAATATTTAAACCCCGCCATTTCCTCTGGCTAGGGTTAGGGGGACAGAGCTAGAAATCAGGTAAGAGGGCAAGAGGAGCCCCGTCTTGCTCCATGTGCCCCAAAATAATAAGACCTCCCTGAAAATAAGGCCAAGCACTAATTTCAGGGTTCAAACAAATATAAGGCAGGGTCTTATTTTTGGGGAAACATGGTAATAAAGCATATTATTAGCATGTATTATTAGGAGCTGTTTGTAGATTTGGAAAACTATTTTGTAATTTTTATTAGCATTGGATGTTTGCTGTATTAGGATGCTGGCCTCAAAAGACATTCTTTCCTTCTCTGCCCCCATGCCCATACGTAACACCATTAATGTGTGCCAGAGACTCTGAAATTAGGTGTCCTAAAATTTTGTTGTTTACCATGGAACATTACTTGACTTCTCTCTGCTTTCCTGTTTCATGAGAAATGACGGTAAATTATATTCAAAATTGATTATGGTTTTATATGCATCTTCCATTTAGTTATATGAATGTTTATGAATACTGCTTGATACACACAGAAAGACCCAGGTATATAGATACATATTACATTTCCATCGCAATATCTATCTCGATGTGAGAATTATTCTATCTTTATTCTCTGACATGTCAACATCTCCAGGGTGGGGTTTTAACTATAACATTTCAGAATATGTTTTTGTAACTCAATTACACTCATCATAAGCTATTTTTAAATGATGGCTTCTTTCCAGATGTGTGTTTTTTAATGCATGTTTGATTTGGGAAAGATAAACAGAAGTCAGGCTGTATCTGCTATTAATGATTCTGCCCGGGCAAAATCTAGCTGGAATATCTAGATTCATTTGCAGTATTGTTGGTGATGAAATTGTTTTACAATTTGAGTGAAGACCTTTTAGTTTCTCACCTTGCTTCACTGGGAACACACAGATGTCAATACTCAGAACCTGACAAAGTTGAATTTCCCTTTTTCTCCTTCTCTCTCCTTGGAACTTTCCCTTATTTTAAAATATGGAAAATGGATAACCTGTCATCTGATTCTTTTTATTACTTCTGATACAGGGAACCTAAGCTGTCAGTTCCAGATAGCCACTATTCACTGGCAACTGGTCATGCTTTTCTATTCCTTGCCCAGCAGGCCTTTTATAGTTCTTGAGACTGAGCTGGAAGCAGTTATTTGCCATGTTTTAAGCCTCTTCGGAGAGTCCCACCATGGAATAGAGATAACCCTCACTTACTGACTACTCATTCAGTGATTGAAATTGTGACAGCCTTGAATGAGTGATACTGATGACCAGCCCTCAAAATTCCAACTGCTGAAGTGCCACCATGGACATGTGATTGTGATTTTGAGCATTTAGCAACCAGTTAGCATTTATGATAGCTGCAGCACCTTGCAATCAGTGATTATCATTTGCAATCATCCCGATCAACTTCCCATAAGCAAAGTCAATACAGAAGCCAGAAGGGAAGGTTGTAAGTCATTCTGGTAAGTCCCTGTGGCCTTCCTGCAGTCATGCCTTGCCACAGCAGGCTTGTGTTTGTGCCATCCCTGGCCTTCTTGTGCTCATGTGAAGCTTGCTCTGAGGCTCGCAAGCCATTCCCTTCAATAGTATCCCCTTCCTACTGCATCCCCTTAGACCTTACCTGGAACTCCCACTGCTTCCCATTTAACAATCCATGCATCTTGCTGTCACAATGGCAACCAGGACTGCCAGGATTGCCATCACAAAACAATGCGGTGATTTGACATTGGACTTTTCAACTACATTGCTTAGTGACACTGGTCCCAATTGTTATTATTACTTTAGGAGTAGCTGTATCTGCAAGTTTTAAAACAGTGTTACAAAGCTATGCAGCTAAAGTTAAGCTTTCACTTACCTGCTGTTGCATTAAATGCAGAGGTAAAGCAGTGCGTTGATGAAAGGTAGGGGAAGGTGGTAATTCATCATGACTGCTCTGCCTGCGGAGGCATTCAAAATTAAAGGAAGAGCGGCGATTGGCTGAAATATGAAAAGGTGGAACGGGTTGTTACTGCTTTCTAGAACTGTCATAGGAGCAGTTGGGTTAATCTGTTAAGGTGGAGTTCGAATTGAAGAAGCTTCTTGGATGAGAAGGGAAACTTTTTCAAGGGAAAAAAACAAGAAAGTCCAATTGCCTTTTGAAAAGCATCTTTGGGATAACCATGACCTCGATGATAAGACACCCTGACCCACTGCTTTGCTGCACTGGTGACAAGATGATACTCCAAGAGGAGCAGTGGCTAAATTTGTTTCTTTAATACTTGTATGGGTGTGTGAGAGATTAATTATTGGTGACAATGGAGTTGTTCACCTTCCAGAAGGCTCTTGCTTTGATGCTCACTCTGAGTTTCCTAGCACTAATTTGTGCTACTGAAATGTGGTCACCTTACTACTGTATTTCAGCAGCTTAGTTTTGTTCTGGTGGGGGAGTGGCCATGGAAAGGTTAAGGGAAGGAAAGAGAGTGGTTTGGCTCTCAGAGACTTTTTAGAGCATTCTTATTTCCATCCTTAATTTTGTAGACAGGCAGGCAGGCAGGAGCAAGCAAGCAAGATCATGCCATCAGCCATTCAGCCACCAACTTCCAATCTGTAAAGTACTGGAGTATTGGGGAGCACAATGAGATTGTGCAGTAAATTACTGCATCTATTAGAGGTAGAAGCTATACAGTATGAAAGCACAAGTAGTAGCTTTTTTTCCTGGGCCTCTTATTTGCCTTCACAGCCTATTTTATCAGGAAGTTTCAACTCTTTATTTGCCCTCACAGTTTAGGTTATCAGGAAGTTTCAACTTTTAATCTCACCTTGTAGAAGACAACGTCACTACTTTCAGATTTCTATCTAAGACAAATCAGGTCATCTTGCTAAAGAGTGTTAATTTCTAAGAAATGTTTGTGCCTTTACTGAATATCCAAAGCGATGCAGGACTGAGTGATGTAAGACTGAGTAAAGTATGGGTCAAGCTTCTATGAAAATCAAATTTCTAATCATTACAGTCTTGCGACATCTGTGTTTCATAAGGATCACTTACATGCTTCCCTCTCTCCCCTCCTTTTTCTTAATTTGTAAGGGAGAACTAAAAGTTTTCCTCAAACTTTGAAGAATGAGCTTTGTGCTCATGTGATCCCTAGAGTTTCTGGCCTAGAAACCAGGAGGTTGTGAATTCTAGACCCTGCTTATGCATGAAAGCCATCTGGGTGACTTTAGGCCAATCTCTCTGTCTCTGTCTTTGTCTCATCCCAACATTGTTATTGTTGTGTCTTAAGCATTATTTACATATGAATAGTGTATTGGTTATCAGCGTGTGAAGCAATGTGGTAGCATGCTGACTGGAGAATTCTGGGAATTGAAGTCCACGCATCTTAAAGTTGCTGAGGTTGGGAAAACCTGCTATAGAACATGCAGAAGTGTGAATGTAGCACCTGCATGCAGCACCTTTTTAGCAGCTACAATTTTTTTTCCAGATAAGGCTTGGCTCCTTATAGATATTGCAGAGAAGTGTTAGTGTCACACCATGGCACAGTCTTATATCTTACAATGTTATTTTATTATTTATGAATATGTATTTTCCCCAAGTTAATATTAACTTCGATGTTTATTATGGGGTTTGTGCATTTTTAGTTATTAAATTCTCTCATTTTCAAAAGGCTTCTCTGTGGAGAAGCCGTGCTATTTCGTTAAACAAAATTAAATGTTAAATTGCAGCCATCTGAACTAATTAAAATATGCATCAACTCTAATTTTGGCAGTTGGAGAATATTAAGGACACATTTCCAGAAGTGTGGGGGAACGGCAACTATTGTAAGCAATCCAAATATAAAGGTAAATTAATCCATAATTTTTGATCATGTTGTTATTCTGTGAATGAGCTCATTCTTCTGTTATAATTTTGTATGAAATCCAATAATGGTCCTCAGTTATAAAAAGGAGACATGAGAAGCTACAGGAAGCACACACACACACACACCCAAAAAAAACTCCTCCTTGCTTCCTTTCCCCTTGGGTCACTGGGATGTCCCCTTTGTATGACTTAAATCAACTAAGGTTGAGAGCATAGGCAGAGAATACACAATGGGTCTAATAGTAAAGCAAACACATCCACGAAGCCAGCTTTTGTAGTGAACTCACATGTAGGTGTTGGAGGTAGCAGCCGTCTCCTAGGAGATCTTTTGGAATCATAATACACGGGTGAGTCATCTTCCTCAAAAAAACCATGTGGGTGATGATAACCCTTTGGCCGTTCAAAATCTAAATCATTACAATGATATGTGCTATGGTAGTCGTGAGAATGCCTAAAGGTAAAGAAACAGATAATTGGTAGTGATCACCATAGAAAACTGAGGGCTCCCAAAATGTGTAACTTGGCCAAAATTATGAACTACCTTCCCCCGCAAACAAAAACAAAAACAAAACACTAAAGTAATTTTTAAGAAGGAAAACAGTAATAGTGATTGATATCTAGCATGCGTTCCAGTGGTGGGTTGCCCCCAGTTCAGACCGGTTCTATAGAACTGGTAGTAAAACCAGCGGGAGGCTCTGCCCACCGACCCCGATGTCATCAGGAAACAAGAAGCAGGCGCAGAAGCAAGCAAGTGCGTGCAGCCCCGTTGTGAACCGGTAGTAAAGGTACAGTAAGTAGAACCCACCCCTGATGCCTTCTCAGTCAGGTATCCAGAATTTCCCACCTGGGTCAGGAATGCACAAACTGAATCTAAATCTTGTATTCTAATATATCTGGACAGCATTACATTGATTTAAAGTAACCAACTCATTCTCCAGCAAATTTATTTTGGAGTTATGTTTATATTTCACAGTCAATTTTCTATTTTTAAATACAAATGACACATAATTTAGTGACACCTATCTCTGGGACATGGTGGTTCAGTGGCTAAGATGGTGAGCTTGTCAATTGAAAGGTCGGCAGCTCAGTGGTTTGAATCCCTAGTGCCGCGTAATGGGGTAAGCTCCCGTTACTTGTCCTAGCTTCTGCCAACCTAGCAGTTCGAAAGCACATAAAAAATGCAAGTAGACAAATAGGGACCACCTTTGGTGGGAAGGTAACAATGTTCCATGTGCCTTTGGCGTTTAGTCATGCCGGCCACATGACGACGTCTTCGGACAGCGCTGGCTTTTTGGCTTTGAAACGGAGATGAGCACCGCGCCCTAGAGTCAGGAACGACTAGCACATATGTGCGAGGGGAACCTTTACTTTTATCTCTGAGTAGATTTGTAAGTGAGAGGAGAAGAACTGAAGTTCCTCCAGGCCACCAGATGCTATTGGTTTCTTCATGCTGGAGGATAATGGAAATCATTGTTCCTTATATCCTCTTAGAAACAGCAGGTCTTTCAGGGTCCTCTTTTCCCCATCATGAAGAAAGGAAATGTTAGGATCTACTCCTGAATCTTGTCAGTCTTCTGCCTTTCTTTTCAAGGAAGAAGGTGAAGCATGGAACAGACAACCCTATTGAGGGAGTTCTCTCAGGAGTTCCAGCAGTGGTGAGGAGGAAACTGAGGGCAGGGGCTGGGGGAGGTGGGATCCACTCAAGGCATTCACAAACTGAATAAGCTATCTGAGATGTTATATCTCAGGATCTCATCTCTGATGTACAAGAGCTGCTACATTATTTCTTTTTAATGGAACTTAAACTTACCAGTTTCCTGACAACATACTGTCTTCTTCATAATACTCATCACCACTAAAATATTCCTGATCATCTAGGTAGCAATCATCATTATAATAATCTCTAATTTCATGCTCTTCTCGGCAAATTGTAGGTAAATGTCTATCACCCGATTCTGATCTATAGTTAGAACAGAGATATTTTATTACTTTTTATATAAAAAACACGTAAATCCTTCCCTCCCTATCTTTTCCCAAATCAAATTAGCAAGAGCTTTTTAAAATAAAAGGATTTAAAAGAACAAAAGTAAGACTGAAAAAAACCCCCAAAACATACATAGGTTGTCCTTGACTTACAACCACAATTGGGATCAGGATTTCTACTGCCACAGTAAGCAAGGCAGTTGTTAAGTGAGTCATAGCCATTTTTATGACATTCTTGCAAAGTTATTAAACAAATCACTGCAGCTATTAACTGAATTGTGTGTCATTAAGCGAATCCAGCTTCCTCCATTGACTTTGCTTGTTGGAAGCTGTCTGGGAAGGTTGCAAATGGTGATCACATGACCCTATGATACTGCAACTATTAATACATGCCGATTACCAAGTGGCCAAATTTTGTCATGTGACTGTGGCAATGCTGTGACAGTTGTAAGCGCGAGGAATGGTTGTGAGTCACTTTTTTTCAGGGTCATTGTTATTTCAAATGATCACAAAGTGAATGGTTGTAAATTGAGGCTACCAGTAGTAAAAGTCAACAGGGCATATAATATAATCAAGTAAACTTTACTATACTTTCTATAGACTGAATGCCTTCCTAAAAGAAAGAATTCAACCACTGATAAGAAACGATAAGAAAGCTTGGCAGGACAAGAAGCAATGGATGGAAATTAGTCAAGGAGAGAAGCAACCTAGAACTAAGGAGAAATTTCCTGACAGTTAGAACAATTAATCAGTTTAACAACTTGCCTCTAGAAGTTGTGAATGCTCCAACAATGGAAGTTTTAAAGAAGAGATTGGATGACCATTTGAAATGGTTTAGGGTTTCCTGCCTGAGCAGGAGGTTGACTAGAAAACTTCCAAGGTCGTTTCCAACTCTGTTATTCAGTAAAATCAATTTGCATACCTGGCCTCCTCAGGTTGAAGAATTCTACCACTGAGACACTCAGGCTATTGAGAAATTGTACTCTCCTTTTGCCTGTTTATTTATTTGGCCTCACTTCTATTTTTTTCTTTTTTCAAAACACAGTTGTGACTTGGAAGTGGATATTATCCTCTAGATTAATTGGTTTATAACTTCCCAGTGATGGCAAGTAAAAGAAACATATACTGCAGTTTCATTCTATTTCCAATTTCAGTAAATTGGCTGCCTCTTATAGGGAGCTGGGAAAATTAAACAGTGCTGTCATAGGGATACTGATAGATACAAGGGAAATATAAATCAGTGGTAGAAACATGAAGTTCTATTTTAACCTAGTTCTAAGAAAGGCCATAATGTTCTGCATAATTTCTAATAGCATCAACATGCAAAATGGTTTGGAATTCATAGGAAGTTCCTTGTATTGTGTCAAACCATTTGTCCAACTTGCCTATTCTGCTGAAAAGTGGTTTATATAATTTCGGACGTGAATTTTCCAGCCTTAGTTGGAGATACTATTCTGTACCACTGTGACATTCCTTCCTAACTGAACACCTCATAAAAATGTAGGTTAAAGTCCAACTCTGGTATTTTGATAAGGTCAGTAGGTAGTCTTGCAATTCTAGTCCTAATATTGTGCATCAGGATACATCCACAACTACAGCTAAGCCAAAATGTATATTCAACTGTTCAGGACTGCACGGAGATTTCCATGCATACCGCTCAATGTTCATGCTCAGCATATGGACCAAAGCTATGTTCATATCATATGCTATGTTGAAGGCCAATAGCCCTTAGTTTCATGCTTCAGCATCATCTGCAAAGATAATGACTGAAAAAGGCTTATATGATTTGTTTCAATAAGTTTTATTGAAGCATGAAGTGCTGTTTTCCATGATATGACCTTATATATACTTACCTAATGTAAGTTTCATAATAACGACCTCTACTAGAAAAAAAGAATATGGAGAAAGAAGTATAATGAATTTTAATGAAATGATGAGAAAGTAAATGTTATATTGTACTTATCAATGGATACATTTGTATTTACCAAAACTTTCCCACAGGATTTAATTCATAAATTACTATGATGAAAGAAAGAAGCAACAATTTGTCTTAAGTGATTTTTGGCTTATCCTCTTTAGACATCTTTCTACCCCAATGATGCAACGATCTAACTATTAATGTTGTTGAATTTATCTGATTGTATTAATCTGACCAATAAAGAGCTAGTTTGGTCTAGTGGCCTGAGGCACCAGGCTAGAAACTGGAAGACCATGCGTTGTAATCCCTCTTTAAACTGAAAGCCATTGGATGAATTTGGGCCAGTCACTCTATCTCAGGCCAACTCCCCTCATAGGGTTGTTGTTGAAAGGAAAATAGGAAGAAGGAGAAGTATTAGGTATGTTTGCTGCCTTGTTTATAAAAATAATAAGGGCAGGATCTAAATAAAATAAATCACACAGCCCAAAGAATGATAATAGTTGAAAAATGTAAGCTACAATTTAATCAAGCAATTCAACGGAGTTATGTTAAAATTAAACTAGACAATGAATAAATAATGAATAATGAATAAATTAGACAATCAAATATAACAGTTCAAGGTGTTAAAAAAAAGTAACACAAGGATTGGCATTTTCAACCAAATGTAACGTTTTAGTTTACACTATAAAAATATATTGGGATTTACCTCTTTTTGGATGATCGTCTACGTTGTTCACGGTGATCTTTTCTGGAGTATGAATGGCTCCCAGTTTCCAACATATGTTCATGACTTCCAGTGCTTGCATGTTTTCTGTTTACCATCTTGGACATGTTGGCATTATTAAGGTTAGCGTTTGTGGAGTTTGGAACTTGCTTCCCTACTGAGTTGTGGTTGTGATGGCTATGATGATTATGGAATAAAGAGTTTCCTGTTGGTGGATGCACATTTTTCTCATTCGTGTCCACCATACACGAAACCAGTGGCCTTTGCACATGCAGGGGGCGATGGGTAGTATTGATCTGTTGAAATGAATCCCTTGTATCAGTGCTAACATGATTGATATGGTTTCCAAACAGGGCACCATTTCTCTGAAATATAAAAAGTGATAATCAATTAATAACATAATATTAGTTAGTTTGTCTTCATGTGCATATCCTGTGTGGGTTCGCTTGCCATCCTCAGGTCAGACAGTCACATTGCCATAATACCACAATACCCTCTTCTAAACAGTCTTCTATGTGATATAGGAGCTACCTATGATCACTGCAATTATATCACACTGCAATTGGAAATGTGCCAAGAATAGATTATTTTGTTAAACTATTCACACAGAGAAAGAGAGAGAAACTACATCATACAGACCCAGATTCATAGCTAAGCAAATTGTATTACCCAATTCTCCCCAAAAGTTTTATAAGCTATATTTTAAAGAGCATAGTGCTTGTTACGATTTGTTGTTACAATTATATGATAAAGTCATTCCACAACTACAGTGACATGACCAAAAATCTTGGGAATTCTGTGATTTTGTTCTCAGGCAGCGAACAGAAAGTTATCCTTAATGCCTTGGTAAGACCACACTTGGAATACTGCATCCAGTTTTGGTCGCCACAATGTAAAAAAGATGTTGAGACATCTGGAAAGTGTGCAAAGAAGAGCAACAAAGATGATTAGGGGACTGGAGGCTAAAACATATAAAGAAGGGTTGCTGGAATTGGGTAAGTCTAGTTTAATGAAAAGGACTAGGGGTGATATGATAGCACTGTTCCAATAACTCAGGGTTGCCACAAAGAAGAGGAAGTCAACCTATTCTCTAAAGCACCTGAAGGCAGGACAAGAAGCAACGGAAGGAAACTAATCAAGGAGAGAATCAACCTAGAACTAAGAAGAAATTTTCTGACAGTTAGAACAATTAATCAGTGGAAAGATTTGCCTCCAGAAGTTTTTCAACACTGGAAGTTTTTAAGAAGAGATTGGACAAAGATTTATCTGAAATGATACAGAGTTTCCTGCCTGGGCAGGGGGTTGGACTAGAAGACCTCCAAGGTACCTTCCAACTCTGTTATTCTGTTATATTCTGTTAAGTATCTGACTTCCCCGTTAAAAGAAAGTTTATGAGTTTTTATAACTAACCAAGAAGATGCTAAAGTTAAAAGTGAGATAGGAGTGGTATTTCTTGGAACTCAATCTAAAGAAGACAAATACAATGATAACTGGTGGGAGGAAATAGCCTTGAAGTCTTAGCCCTGATTGGTTCTAACAGTGATTGCTCTATTCTCAGTTAAATAGCAGGAATATTTTTTGTTCAGTTGTCAGAATAGCATTTCTGGATTACTACAACTGGATGCCTCTGAAAATTCAAAGATAAATGTGGGAATTGTTTTATGCTGGGTTTAGCCCCAGCATTGTATCCAGATACTCACTTTACCTGTACTTAGCATCCAAATATTTTCTGTATACAAAGCTTGTGATTTAATAAATCCTCAGTTTGATGGATCTTAGTTTTGCAAACTATAGATAACATTTTCATTCAGGCAGTACCCTGAAACAGTAGACTATTAGCCATCATTTGGGTAAGAAGTCCAAACAGCAACCATTACTTTTCCTTTAAAAATGAGCAAACTTTTATGCATGATTCATGTCTAAATTTGTGATGAGACAGAGAATTCAAGTAAGATTGAGAGGGATGCATGAAAAATATCTTTTGCAAAGACATCCTGGGAACTTGCCAAGACTCAGGAAAATAGCATGACAAAGAGAAAATATAGACAAATATTTTTTGAGATGGCCACAATATCTTAACCTTCACTTCAAAAAGTGAAACAGCCCCTGGTTTCTCAATCTAAAGATGCTAAATTTTTAAAAAGTATGAAAAGGGAAAAACAAAACACAGGGCACCATTTCTTAACATTAAATACTAGAACCTTCAGCGACCAGCTGGAATAGAAAGAATTCAGAAAGATAAGCCAACTTTCAGCAGAAATGCTTCCCACAGTTGCAGTTTGATGGAAATTTTGCTGCCAGCTGACCCTCAAGACAAGAGTTGAACAAAGTTTATAGAAACCACAGAGCCAGTCTATAAGAGTCATGTCAACCAGAGGTACAGTCATAGTCCAGCATTTGCAGCTGACTAATAGTTCTAAGGGAGGACAATTTCCAATGCCAGAAAATCCACTGGCTACAATGACTATGGAGATTCTCAGTCATCCAGGCCATGACCTGGATGACTGAGAATCTCCATAGACATTTAGCTATGCAGTTTGGGATGAACATCCTTTGAATGGTGTGGGAGTACAAATGGATTTCCAGAAAAATTGTAGACTACAGGAACCATTTAGATCCAAGCACTACTCAGGTGACCCTGAGGACACAAATAAACCTCCAAGTGGCCTCAATGACTCTCTAAAAGGATGCAAATGACCAACTGTCTGCAAGGAATATAAATCCTTCCATTCCCCACTATCCAATCAGAGCTGAAGAAGCTTCTTGGATGCGAAGTGAAACATCTTCAAATTAAAACACGAAAGTCCAGTTGCCTCTTGAAAAAAGTATCTTTGGGACACTGATTACAACAGTTGAAACACTATTGGTTCTGGAAGTTGTTCTTCCCTAGGAATGGAGCAGGGTTATTTGGATGGTCTGCATCTAGCCACAACTTCTTTCTTGCTATTCTCATACTCAGACACCCTAAGCAAACATTTCATTTTAGGAATAGGTAAGTAGAAGTTGACAGTAGAAATTCTCATAGGAAAATGTTGTCATAGGGGAAGAAGGGGCTTTTGAGCTGACATCAGAAGTAGAGTCTTTAAAAAAGAGGGAAAGAATTGAAAAAAAGGATTTTGATGGAGAGAGATGTAATGGCTGACACCTAAGATGTAACTATTTAGTGATTGTTGTGGAAAATTTGGGTTGTAATATTTGCTGTAATATTGGCTTGTGCACCTATATTGCATCTGGTAGTGTTATAGTGCTGAAGTCTTGTTGGGTCAAGGACAAATTTGGAAAAGGAGAAGATTATTGAAGAGAGTTGTTGGGTGAGCTCCAGAGGAAGATTCTCTGAAGACTCAAAAAGGATAATGTGCTGTAAGACTTTCTCTACCCAATACAGATTTAGATTTGAAGAGAGATGGAAGTGGTCAGCAGCTAGAGCTGAGGGAAGAAGAATTAATACAGCCAATGTTCAATCTGTCAGTTCAACATTATAGCTTGAAAACATATAGATCAAACTTAGGCTATAATTTTGAATACAGAAAAAGGTTGCATTTTTTAAAAATCTCAAGATGCTGCAGGCAGGAGGAGGAAGAACAGAAATGGCCTTTCTCATAACTTGATGAGAAATGTGGTGAAATTAAAAGTAGTTTGCTTACTTTGATGTGCTTTTTGAATAAATGGTAAAACATCCAAAATAATTTGATGTGCCTTTCCTCAAATACCAAGAACTCACGGAAGCCTTGTGACAGTCATTGGCTTATAAACACCATCATCTCTGCATGATACTCAGTTGCCCATGTGGAAGATGCCATAAGCATGATAAGGGATCTATTTAGCTGGCAGTGCTTTGAACAAAACAGAACAGAGCATATGCCCCACCTTCTGACACATGTGCAAAGGGAACACTAGTAGCTTGCCTTCACTAACTAGTACTGTAATTTCAATGAGCTTTAGTAGTGTGGGTATTACTGCTTCCATGTTCCATATCTATTTCCTTTGTGACATTATTTTCTACTGATGACCATGTTTGGTAACTAAAGGAATTCTTTTGTCAAAAAATAGAAGACTGACTCAAACTTGAGCCTATAATGAAATAGCTTGGAAATGAATGGAATGCACTGATTACTTTGTGGGGGGAAATTCTTGCATCTGCTTAGTAAAGGGGGCAAAAAGTCTATTTTATAAACTGAAGACATCTCTCATACAGCCATTTACTTTATATACTTCTTCCTCCTCATGATGATTTTGTTCTGGTTCATCCTCTTGCAAATCACAGGAGATAGCTCGCCGAATTTCAGGTCCAATATCATGAAGTGTTCTAAGCCCAGCCTAAATATGTAAAATATAATCAAAGTATATTAGAAATGACAAAACATTTTTCTTTTAGATTACTCATTTAAAAGATTTATGCCAAGAGTGCCTTGTAAACAAATGGGGCTGACATGGAACTTAATTGTTTCCATTCCATTCCAGTGCAGGAATATGCAAACATTTTCAAATACATATTTCTATTTTTCTGGATTAAAACTCCTACTTCTAGATTTGTATGCATACCAGAAAAGAGGCAAATCAGAAAATTTTCTAATAAAAAGAGGAGCCTTTTTTTAGATCTAGATCATATTTTTATTTTTTTTAAAAAAATAATGCTTCTATGAGTTAGAAAATATGGTCATTTAGCATTCTGGCTTTATTTCTTCCTCTTTGGGGACAGGAGAGTTTAATAATCAAAATAGTTGCATTAGCTCTGCACGCTTATTACTATTGCCATTTTTACAAAAAGAAAGATAGTAAGCCTGCAAAGATAATGCTGGTAAAACATATCCTGTCTCCAATTTCTAGTGGCATACTCTTATGTTGGGTGATTGCATATGGCCCACCCCTGACTGTCTCTGTTTTTAGTACAGTATAACTAGCCTAGGATGGGATCAGTCATGGGCATTGCATCATGCTAGTAAAATCTAACAATGCAAGCCTTACAAACCAGTATTAAGTTAAACTTTAAAACAAATTGGAAGGCTTCTCAATTTCAGCTAAGAAATAGCATTTCCCACATTAATTTGGAATCCTAAACTGAGAATTTGAGAAAACTATATTGAAGAAGGCAATGGCAAATCATTTCTGTACTGCTACCAGAAAAATTCAATGGATGCAGTCAACATATATAAATTTCAACTTAAGGGAATCCTCACTCTTTTTTTAAACCCTCAACTGTATCATACTATGCCTATTCCAGTATATGTTCTATCAGGCATTCCAAAACAAAATGTGAGAATGACAGGGATGCATGTTCTCCTCCATTCTCCTTCCACTAGCCACATATGTTGTGGGTTAGCAGGTACTATCTACAAGGCAAGTATAACCCTGTTTGATTCTGCTTGATTGCACTATTTCATAGGGTTATCAGAATCTAGGTTTCCAACTAGTTGAAACATCAAAAATATGCTCAGTAAACACATTTACAGTCCTCATGGAATTCTTTTCTTATAACAGCTTGTACATACATGTTCATACCTAGTCATCCTGCAAAATAAATTGCTTTAGAACTCATGTGATTGCTTAAAAGATAGATTTCACCCAATTGCTGAATTTTAGAGGAATTATAAAATATTTCTATAACAAGTTTATCAATAACAGTAACAAGCAATGATCATAAATGTTTTTTGCATAATAAAATATGATCAAATAATCATACAGCATCAGACCATGCTCTTTATTACAGAAGAAGTCTATAGTTTCATACATATATTTATTACCATTTGTTTTATATATATATCTATTAAAAGAAAGCTTTAAATTTATCTCGGCACAGAGAGAACCTTCCTTTTTGGACTTAAGTTATAGTAAAGTTATAGTAAAAAATAATGGTTGGTTGGTTACAAAGGCACCACAACATGAATATCACAACTTTTAATGCCTATAATGGAAATGAGGTTCTTTCAACTACTCAACAGAATAAAAATATGGATATCTATTTTTAATCTTTCTTCAGTAAATCCACAAAGATATATGTAAATGATTGAGCACGTATATCTCCCACAAACCCAAATTCAAGGGCATATTTTAAAACTAAAATATTTACAGTCTTGTGTTACTTCATCAATTATTCTTCCTGATTCTTTGATAGATATACTACCAACATCAGTCAGTCTATTTTTAGAAGCAAATTTTTTTTTTTTAATTTGATTTATATGCCGCCCTTCTCTGGAGACTCAGGGCAGCTTACAGTGCGTTAAGCAATAGCCTAAAATATGAAAAAAAAAAACCCCATTCAAAACCTAGCTTTCAAGGATTCAAAGGAAAAAAGAAAGCTTCAAAAGCCATTTTCAAATAATTGACAAGAAATCATAAGAACATGGATAAAAACATGTCCTGTTTCCTTGGAGGTGCAATGAAGTACCTTGTTTATTTTTTTTCTATAAATATAGAGCATTATGATTCTACAAGAAGGCCATAACTCACCTAAAATCAGCCAGCACACACACACACACAAATACAAATCAAATTTCATAATGTAATAAGATAAGGACTATTTTGTTTCTTTCTCCACAATAAACCAAAAAATGCTGTGAAATAGCTTGTTTTCACTAGCTTCCTAAGACAGAGGCCACCATACAGATCATTGGAGGAAGGCTATTTCATACCTACTCTGGGGATCTGTAAGGTAGGTAGATGGCACGAAGGAGACATTCCTCAAGATATTTTAGGACCTAAGTATGTAGGACTGCCTAGATGAAAACTAGCACACTTTGAATTATTCTTAGCCTATTAGTGACCAGTGCAGAACCTGAAACACTAATATTATTAGTACAAATTCTCTCATCTGCCAAAATGTAGGGTACTGTATTTTATACTAACCACATCTTCCAGGTAGTCTTCAAAGGTAATATATGTGTTACACCTTTGTAAGATATTTCACCTGTCTATTCTAGAGGTAACATGGGATGTGATACTACTGCTGTGGCCTCTTTCTCCACAAAGTGACTCCTGGCACATTAACCAGAGTTGGGAAAAGACTTCAATACCTACAGGTTCCACCTATTTATCAAGCAGTAGATAAAGAGGGAATTTTTTTTTAAAATTTGATTTATATGCTGCCCTTCTCCGGAGACTCAGGGCGGCTTACAATGCGTTAAGCAATAGCCTTCATACTTTTGTATATTTTTACAAAATCAGCTTATTGCCCCCCAACAAACTGGGTCCTCAATTTACCTACCTTAGAAAGGATGGAAGGCTGAGTCAACCTTGAGCCTGGCAAGATTCGAACTTACTAATTGCAGACAGCTCGAGTTAAATTACAATGCCTTAATGGTTTACAGCGAAGAATCAAAATATTAGTAATAGTAATCATTTGTCAACAGAATAGGATGAAAGTAAATATAGGTAGTACATTCCGTGGCTCATATTAACCCTGCCAGGTTTTACTCAGATATTTTCAGAGACTTGATTGCATTTTTAAAAAGATTTTCCTTGTGATTCTTTTAGGGAAGAGGTAGCCAGGATAAGGAAAAAAACCCATCTCCATTAGTCTCCAAACTGTCCAGCCAACAACTCAAGTTAAAACAAATAAAACCATCAGGCAGCTAAAAAAAATTAGACTGCTTTAATGAATAGTAGAGAGGGGCTGCATTTGCACAAGCTTGAAAACACTTGTTCTGAACCATTTTCACCGAGTGCATAGCCTTACTATATATGTGAGTGTTACTGTGAGTGGATGATGTATATCTGTGTGTACATAATAGGAAATATATTTAAATTTCTGTAGTCTATATTTCAGCTTCATGCATAGCTTCAAAAATATATCCATCACTTCAAGTTTAACTCTGATTCAACTCTCCCCAGTATCATATATGGGATTTGGCCTTCAACTCCAAAATCCTTTACAGTATGAAAGGATGAAGGGGGCAGGGAACATTGGAAGTAAAGGAATAAGTAAGACTCAATGGCTGGGGAAAACCAATCCAAGCTAAATGAATTGCAGATTATGCTTCCAAAACAGAAGCATTTTCAACTTTCAAAGACTTCATCATAATTAATTTATTTATTTGATAGCCTAATTACTCTATCAGATTAAGAATGTCTTTCCAGTAATTTTTGTAACACACACGGTTATAACTTAAAAGTGACATGATAATTCACTGCAGCTGTGCTTTGGAAACATGCTAATACCAACTATTTACAATGACATTAATCATTAATACACCCACATTCCCCCAGCATAATTTCTGAAAAAACAAATATTGTTTTTCTTTTGAAAAAATAAAATACCAAAATAAATAACACATTTGTTTTTTTAAATTTCCACAAATAGCTTTCATAGATAAAATGCATTTCATTATTAACAAGTGCCATGTTTATGTGATATATTGGTAATAAGAAACCATCCTCACACATACAGCTTTATAAGAATTATATTTACACCCTAATGCAAAGTTCTTAGAATCATAAAATCTAAATTTAAGATGTCTGAAATCAGGTTTAATTACTGCCAACTAATTTCCTCCTCTAACTAAACAGTTAGATCTAGATAGGCGATATTTGCTAATGCACCTACAATAAAAGATAATAAACACACATATCTCTTATATACAAATATAGATGACTGAACTTACCTCTACAATAAATTCTAAACAATATTAAGGATCTATATTGGAAATTGTACTTAATGAATAACAATAAAATTTGAGCTGTCAGATGAAACAATAATCACAGAGGAAATGCAACTTTCAAAATTTAAATAATAAAGCTCACCAAAACATTAATAATCAATAACTGGAGGAAATGCACCTAATATTTAATCCCAATGTCAGTGAATATTCAGGATTCTTCTACCCTTTCATTAAAATAAATGCTGCTTGCCTGACTTAAAAAAATTATTATTCTTTGTAAATTTTTTGAAAACAAAGTAGAAGCCAATCAACCAACTGCTATAAGACCTTAAAACAAATACAAATACCTTAAATAAGAGAAATACTTAATACTTTTTGATTTCACTTACCTGATTTGGTTTATATCATTGAAAAGAATAATTTACAAAGAATAACTACTAATAAAATACTGTATTATAATGCAGTATTAAACCAGTTAAGACACCCACAATTCCGGACCACACACAATCAAAAGATTAAAACGTGGGACACCTACACTATAGCAGTGGATGTAAGAGACGTAGTAGTCAAGTCCAGAATCCACTGTAGCATTAGAATGCATAGAGTCCATCCTATCTCAGTGCCTAAAAGCTGTGTTCCCTTCACATTCTTATACAAAGAGATCTGTGTTCTATTATTAAACCCTGTTCAGCTGAGCTTGATGTGAGCCCAGTATGAACATTG